GAAGCTAGTAGGAGACCTTTTTGTAGGCAGTTGTGATCGAAGATTCTTAACATGCTTCTTTTTTTTACAATCTGATGCAGATGAACCACATGGGAGAAATAAAGAACTGCTCTCAGGCCATCACAGGTGTAAGTAAATCTGTTTGATTCAGAGTATATATTTCATGATCGTCTTAAAATACCCAAAAGAGGGGAGGCCAACCCTCTTCCACCATGCAGTCTTAAATCAGCAATTTGCAGTTTTGGAACAAGGGAATTTGGATTGGTTCAGAACGTTAATTGGGTCAATTAAGGCAGGAATGGCCAGCTGTTTTCTTTGAGAGCTAAAGGGTGCTTGTGCTTTCATGTCCATTGACCTGTAAACTACCTAATTGAGGAATTTGCCTGCTTCAGTGATCAGAATAAAATGGTTCCAAGTGTTTCGAAATTGTTGTGTCAGGGTGGCCCATAAAAACCTAATGGAGTGTGGCTCTGTAGGTTCAGGGTTGGCCAGCACCATGGCCTAGACTGTAAACGTTTACAGCCTATTTCGGTATTGAAAACTGCACACTGTGTGCCTTTCAGTAGTATTCTGATAATGCACCAAATAACGAAACTGCCTGATTTTAAAGCAGTATGCAGGCCTTCTTTGTAATTCCCAGCACTGTTTGTTTTCCTCTTTCAGTTCTTTGCGAGCATGCTTACGTATCCCTTCATGTTGGTGTCCAACTTAATGGCAGTCAACAGCTGTGGGTAAGTGTTAAAATTGCTGCCAGCAAAGCAGTGTGGGTACTGGTAGCCAGGGCCTGATCCAGACGCCTGCTGACAGTGATTTCACACCTGACCTGGGGGAGAGGGAGGTAGTGACTGTACCAAGCTCTGTATTGGCTCAAGAAGTAATTACATATTGTTGTTCTTATTACAGTGTAATTTGCACCGCTGTAACAATTTTCTTTTTACTTTTCAGCCTTGCGGGCGGCCTTCCTCCTTATGCTTCAGTATATCCTAACTGGGTGGAGTGTTGGAGGCACCTTAGCAGAGAGGTAATTCGACTTGTCGTTAACAGGAAAAATGTTTTATAATTAGGGTTGAGAATTCATGTTTTTACAGTATCGTGGGATTCTCTTGCTTTTGTTGGAAGGGAGGGAATCTCTTAAGCAGTTAATATTTTTAATGACATCATCTTCAGAGGTATTTTAGGTTTTCCTGCTTGTTTTAAGGTATTTTTGCACTGTGGTACATACTTGGGAAGTACCAAGAGTTAGTCTTCTTAGTCTACGCAATTTAAATGATTACTTTCTGGAACGTTAGCGCCAGCCACTGCAGGGGTCTTGAACCCTGGTATTGAAGAGCCCCAGTCTGCTCAGTCTGGGGTCTCAAACCCTTGTTCTGTAGACCCTCAGTCCAGCAGGTCTTACACATCACCTTAAATCATCAGGTTCTAAGGACCTAAACAGGTGCTTTGTTCAGTGAAGTTATTAAGACATCATTTGAAACAAAAATGAGGAGAACTTGCAGCCCTGAAGGACCAGATTTGCCTTAACTAGACAAATTACTTGCATAATTGATCAATAGCGAACATGTCCCTAACCTTTAAAGAAAGGAAGATTTAGGATGAAATGTACATTTTACTGGATTGGGACACTGCAGGACCAGGGTTGTGGAGACTGCTGCAGAGTGGACTCCTCCAATGTCGCTCATTCAATTCGCGACAGTATCGTGGATCATGACACCTCTCTCCCTCTGTCTTCACAGGGCAACACGAGCAGAGGGAACAGTCTATTCTTCCGAAAGGTGCCGGCTGGGAAGACGTACGCCGTGGACCAGCAGAGATTTTTTTAAATGATCGTGGAACAGAATCGAATCTAATTGTAATGACCTAACGTAATATTTGAGGAATGAAATGGAAATTATCCGATTGTTTGTATATGCATTTGTTTACAGCAACGTGCTCAAGGTTTTTTTAAAAAAAATCAATCTGTCAAATTCTGAAACCAGTAAAGATGTTTATGCATTATTTTATGACAATGAGAGCTGCTTTGATTGTAAAGAAATATATTTTAATTTTTTGTCATCTATAAAAGTACATATAAAGAAAGGGTTCAGGTAGAAGTTCTGTACAACCCAACAGAAATGTGTATCTTAAAGACCCACAATTCAGCTGCATGTTTTGCTGTAGCTACGTGTTTGTGCTTGGGATCAAGCTAAACACTTAACTGTTGTTTTACATCAGTTTTATTGTGTCGGGGTACTTATTGTCTTGTGTCGGCATGGGTGCTTGAGTTTTCAGATTGAATTGAAGTTAACTGGTCTCGGTAGTTGTTAGCTACCTCAGACATAACGCAAATTTGGTCACGAAGAATAAGTCTTTTTTACTGCAGCTTCATATTGGGTATCGGCTGTATATACTCTTTCACCTCATGTGCACATGAAATATAATAGATGTGTGGAGTTCTGTGAAATGTTCGAACTGTAAGATTGTCCATCTGCTCATTAAAGAACTTAGGATCAAAATGAATTGCAGAGATCATGCAAGCTGTTGGAGTCAAAAAGGTCATTGTAGATCTTTTCTGAAGTGTCATTCTTTAAGAATAGTACCTTTGGTGAGCATTTGCGAGCCTTACAATAAAGAGGGATCCCAGTAATAGATAAAAAGTCCTGAAACCAATGCAATAATAAAATGAAAATTTAACGGACATGCTTGTGAAGAAGGCAGTGCTGGTGTTTTTATTTTCATTCATTTTTTTCCCAACGTATTCAGCTATCATTTTCAATTTCATTTATTTTCACAAGGTTAATCTTCGTTGAATTATCTTCCCGAACGTCAGTAGCCTGAATCGGGAATCTTAAGAGAATGCTACTTTGTAGAGAGATACAGGAGAATGGCTTCTGAGCTGCAGATAAATATGCACGTTGAAGCTGATAATTCATACACATCCACGCAGTCGAGAAAAGGTGTTGGTGTGGAGCACACATGGCAAAAACTGAAAAAGACTTTAGCGCATTAAAATGAGGGCGTGTGCTAAAACTCCGCGACTTTGATTTATCTTCCTACCTTGTGTCTTTTTACTGACATTTTAAGAAGTAACGCAGAACTAGCGCTTAAGTCCAAGAAGCTACTTCCATTGATCTTCTGGAGCCGAATTCCGATCCGGGACAGAGCTGAGACAAGAGATTAGACAGCAAAATGTGAATGGCCACAGCGTGGAACTTTTTTTTTTTACTTTTAGTTATCCGTTTTACCAGTACTTCTTTCTATATACACTTATAGTACGAATCGCAGCAACAGGGTGCAAGTTGTGGCTCTACATCCTGATCTACATCCTGACTGATGCCAGTCCACCGCCTGCTGTCGTCTGTGAGACCTGCAGCTCAAGAAGAGAGTATTTTCCAAAAGCCTTTTTTCGAAATAAAGTTCCGTTGTTTTAGTATAAATATCTGCTTATCCTGCACAACACATTTTAACCACTGCAACATTGTTTAAAAATGCTAGAAACAGTCATTAAAATGGGGGGAAATAAGAGTATAGAGTTGATTTATTTCTTGCTCCTTGAATTTTACTTTTTGTTGGCAACTTTTTAGTAATTGGAAATGTTCTAAATATAAACTAAACGTTACTTTAGTTTAGTTATCGTTATGCTGTTCCAGGCATTTAAAACCACACACGCTCGTCTACGCGTTGAGCTGTGTGAAGTTCTGACATGCGCACTTCATGTAACTTAAAGTTTGTATTGTATACCGCAGATTCGACATTTTATTTAAACTACATAGACACTTAAAATGCCTGTAGTTTAGTTTTTATAGCTATTATATATGTTTATAATATTATAAATTAATTTTCCAAATATTTTCAAAATATATATGTCAGTATCTGTAAAAAGATTAAGATTGACGAGTTTACTCCAAATCAGAAATTCCAAAATGGCGTCTCTGAATGACAGATCAGTTTGGGATGAGGTTGAGGTTTGTGATAATATATCCTTATTAAGACTGTTATTTTTTAGTGCTTGTCTACTAAAGAGTTGCCGGGATGTGCGTGTGGATAAATCTCGAAGGATATAAGTGTATCTATACAATTCAACCGTGTATTCCTTTTGTAACATTTGCCGGGGATGGCCTGTTTGCATTCTGGAGAATGACACAGGGAAACTAAATTAACTGCACATGAGATACAAACTGTAACTGTAGCTGTGTGAGTAGAAATGCATGAAGATTTCATTTACTCAAGTATTAGATTTCGCTTCGTGACAGCGTTTGTAAGGTAAAATTGTTCCAGTTTATCGCTCTTTGTCATCTACGCCGAGAGAGGTGAGAAACAGTAACTAACAAGAGCTGAGGAACAATACAAGGTCTGCCTGATAGTTTCCTTTTATTGTGTTGTCAAGATACTACACAATGGGGGGGATACACAATAAATATTCAGTTTTATATGTTATTTAAGCAGGAATAGTAATCCAGGAATTGTAATTAGCTCTTACGTTTTCAAAGTGAGCATTCTTGTCCAGACAGCTATTGATATGGATTGTCCCCTCTTCACACTCTTTTGAATATGTTTCTGGTGTATGTATTCTTTGCGTTTGCCTAATTGGATTTTTAAGATCGGTTATGTAAATACAGCTGTAAATAAAACACTGGGCGATTCATTCCTTTGCCGCCTGAAGAGTTGAGATTGTAGTTCTGGCTGGGCAGCGGTGTAATGAAATCTGGTATCTTTTGATATTTTGTTGGTTGTACTTGGTTAGTAGGTGGAAATTAATGTCGATTTTGCTTAATGATGTTTTAGGCACGCTACATAAAGAAACAACAATAACCCATATTTGATGCATTAATTAAAAAAGCACGCTACTTTCTTTCACCGCCTTTCTGTCTCTGTATTACCTTTAACCTGTTACCTTTCACCTCATAGGATGGGATAGGTGAGGAGGTGCTCAAAATGTCCACTGAGGAGATCATTCAGCGGACACGCCTCTTGGACAGTGAAATTAAGGTTGGTATGTTATTCCAGGAGGGTTCAGGGCTCTTAACCCTGGCCCAGTTGAGCATAAATTCTCCCCCTAGGTTAATGTCACTGTTGTTTCCTTGAGCAATGTACTTGCCCAGCAAGTAGCAAGCTCATTGTATGTGGTAAAGAACACTCTGTCTAAGTGATATTGCACAGTGTAAGATAATATTTTCTCAATTGACCTATCTTGACAAATAAAGCTTTATTTTTTAAACTGATCCACCTTTTGTCAGGTTTTATGAATATTAATCATTTGAGATGTGCATGTTATATTTTCAAAAGTTAAAGTCGTTTTCTTTAGGTTTCAGCTTGTTTTTATTGCAAAGGAAAGTATTTTCAATTACGCAAATTACAATATGGAATAATTTCTCTTCCTGTATGAGTGGAGCGAACAGACGAATTTGAAGCGGGGGGCCATTGCACATCGTAAGCTACTCCTGGTCATGTGTTTAAATGTATTTATTTTTTTAATCAGATAATGAAAAGTGAGGTCTTGAGAGTTACTCATGAGCTCCAGGCCATGAAGGATAAAATCAAAGAGAACACTGAGAAGATTAAAGTGAACAAGACACTGCCATACCTCGTCTCCAATGTCATTGAGGTGAGTGTGGCCCACTGACCGTGATTGACCTCTTTTGAAATGACTGCCTTCAGTAAGACATGTCACTGAAGGGCTTTTGTTTCTGAGAAAGTATATGTACAGTTAATTGTGCGGTAGCATAGAAAAAGTGGATTAACGCTGCCATTTTCAATTTGCACTGTTAGCACTTAACCCCGCTCAGAATAGATAGTGTAAACACTAATGGATCAGAATACATGTACCATTTGCTGCAGGTGCACAGTATTTAAAAGTGGCAGTGTAAACATAAAGGATCAGCAGCTGGCACAAAAGCATTTCTGACAACAGTACTGCAGAAACCATCAGTGGTCTACATTAGTTTGTAGGAAACAACATTCCTGTATCAATGTTGTGTTTTTCAGTGGTATGATGTAGTATGTCATCGCACAAGATTCTAATTCTGCACTAACTGCCTGTGCAAAGCCCTCAGGGTGATGCATAGTTGATCCGTTGAGGAGCAGACTGTAAATGCAACACTACAGATGGGGGTGGTTTCCAGAACCTTTGATTTTGATCAGAAATACGCTACCAATGAATCTATTGTCTGTTTTAGTTGTTGGATGTAGATCCAAATGATCAAGAGGAAGATGGAGCCAATATTGATCTGGATTCCATGAGGAAAGGCAAATGTGCCGTGATAAAAACATCAACACGACAGGTAGGACTCAGTGCCTGAGTATTGGTACTTGCATTTGTGTTTTTTGTAGTATATTGAAATATACGCACACAGAACTAAACATACGGATTAAAGTCAGATTTTAGCCTGCTCAAAACGAGGCCGAGTGTTAAGTTATCAATTTTGTGCCCGTTCGTTTTGTTACATTACCAGCACACATTTTAATAACAGAAATAATCATTTGCACTGACTGCAATTATTTTCTGCCCTGATAGCTGCTGTTTATTCAAACTTAATTAAAAAAATGATCTAACACGTTTTAAGTTATTTTATTGTATGGTGTGTCTCTTGTAGACTTACTTCCTCCCTGTAATTGGTTTGGTTGATGCAGAGAAACTGAAGCCAGGAGACCTTGTGGTAAGTGTACATTTGTTCTGTTCTTGTGGAATACAAATGTGTTTAGCGCAGTTGACCACAATGGTGTTAGTCAGTTGCTGAGGCAGTGAGCTCTCCTACTATATCTTCAGTATGCTAGACACATACTGCACAGAGATGCAATTCAGTGACCGAAGCATAACATCCGCAGGTTTTCCACCCAGTCCCTTATGCAAATAAACACTGATATGAAATACCAAGGTGGACGAGTTTTTCTGTTTACTGGGTTCATTAAGTAGGTTTGTTAGTGGTGTTATGCTAGTGATGCTCTTTTGAGAAGCCATACCTTTACCCAGGGATCCCCAATCCTGGTCTTGGGGGGCTGGTGTCTCTGTAGGGTTCCTTGGTCTCTTTAAAGCAGGGGTTCCCAAATACTGTACGTTCCTGGGGACCCACACACCTGCTGGTCTGCTCATTGTGGCCAAGGTCTCTACTTAAATTAATCCTTAATTGAGCCAATTAAGCCAACATACTAGTTGTAACCTTTGAAAGTTTCTTTTTCCTTCTCAAAGATTCATGATTATAAGTTTCTTAGGAAAACCTACATACATGCCAGCCCAAACCCTACAACCCTGCCTTAAGTGCAGAATATTTTATCAGTCCGGTTATTACCAAATACCAATACATCAAATGTCTCAATGTGTGATTTTTAAAATTGCACTGGGGGACACTTTGATTTGCATGTCCTCTACCTGCAGGTGGGCGTCCAGGGCCCATCGATCCTTCTTTATGCAGTGTTTTGTTTTCCAGTTTAGAAGTGTGGGGTGCTTTTTTCCCATTGCTGTGATCTTCCCGTTCTCCCAGGGGGTGAACAAGGACTCGTACCTGATCCTCGAGACCCTGCCCACGGAGTACGACTCCCGAGTGAAGGCCATGGAGGTGGACGAGCGTCCCACTGAGCAGTACAGCGACATCGGAGGGCTGGACAAACAGATCCAGGAGGTCAGACCTGCCGGGGAGCTATTCCAACGCAGTTCAAAAACGCTGAATTTGTTTGTTTTTGTTTTTTTTTTCCCACCTTTGGTTTTAGTACCGAGTTTTCATCTTTCCTATTATCGTAGATATACCTGACTGCAGCTATGGAGTCCTAGATGCAGTATTTCCAAGAAGCTGTGGAAAGTGGTTGTGGAGTGACTTAATGACCTGTGTCTTTGCAGCTGGTGGAGGCCATAGTTTTGCCCATGAACCACAAGGAGAAGTTTGAGAACTTGGGGATCCAGCCTCCAAAGGGGGTGCTGATGTACGGCCCTCCAGGAACAGGCAAGACGCTGCTGGCCAGAGCCTGTGCAGCCCAGACCAAGGTAGAGGAACATGGTGTCATAGCTCCTGCAGGTTTTGCTTTCCTCTGATGTCCTTCCAGTTTGGAGGCGCAACACCTACTTTGCTGCCCGGGGTGATCGACAGACAGGCACCTTAACCCATCAAGCCTGTTTGTCTTCTAACTTGCTGCAGGCTCCACAGCAGCTTGCGGGAGGGTTATTGCCAAATTGGAGGGAAGAGACCTCTTTCACTGATGTCCTCACAGCTGCCTGCGAAGTTAGCAGAGCTGTGTCCAGTGAACCGTAGCCCTGCCCGCCTGCCTGGGCCTTTGCCATGGAAATCTCATTCACAGCTGGCTTGTACAGCAATTCCTAACACTGGTCCAGGGGGGACACTCATCTGCTAGATGTGTCCAGCTGAAAACCACCTCACAAGCGCTAATGGATGAAAAAATATCCAAAATGTTTCCCAGGGAACATTAAGTCTCAAGCTTGCTTAACCTTATTAGTCACCAAATAACTATCAAGAGGTGATCGGTTTATGATGTTCAAACACAGGTTGGAATGACAAAGTATTAAACGTGCCTAAACCTACGCAGTGAGCTTTTATTCTGCATACATTTCTGACAAAGCGCCTTAATGGGAGGGGGATCAGGGAAATTTGGTCATAGCAACATAAATAGTAGCAATCATAAAAACCGCTCACTGCAATGGTAAATCAAAGCAAACTTAAAATATGCCACAAATAGAAGACTGAAATCAAGTAGCAATTGATCAGCAGTTTTATGTGATCTGGTAAGACGTATGGCTGGTGGAAAAACATCATTGCTTCATGTCTCTACCCTAGAGTTGGGTATACGTCTCAAATACCTGCTGATTTTTTTTTTTTAATTGGAGGCTTGAATCTAGTGCTTATAAAGACATTTTCTCTGCAGGCCACATTCCTGAAGCTGGCTGGCCCACAGCTGGTCCAGATGTTTATTGGAGATGGAGCCAAACTGGTGCGAGACGCTTTTGCTTTAGCCAAAGAGAAAGCTCCCTCCATCATCTTCATTGACGAGCTGGATGCCATTGGCACCAAACGGTGAGTGTGTAGTAAAAATGCAGGGGGACAGCTCCACAGTGTCTTTTATTGTAGGGATTTACAATGGCTGAGGTCACTGCTGTCTGCTTAAGACATTGTGCGTGTTTGCTTGCTCAAAATAACAGTGTACCAGTATCTCTTACTACTGTATTTCAGGTATTTGTAATATTCCATTGCAGCATTCACCTTATTATTTATTAAGTGAATGGCCACAGTTTTATATTGACAAAAATGAAAAGTGACTAAAATAATGAAATTACTAAAATGAAAAATACAAAACAGTAGTTCAAATACAGTAGGAAAAAATATTTGTCTTGTATGGTTTCAGACCAGAACTGTTGTCTTAGTTATTTTGGTTCTTTGCTCCTTAGTAAAATTATGGTAAAGGTATATATTAGAATTCTATTAACACCTTTTTGTTTTTTGTAATGATACAACAATTCTCACCTAAAGATGTAAAGTAAAAGGCTTTTTAAGCAACAAGTAATTATTTTTATTAAGTTCATTGCTAACTTTGACATATAGAAAATTGCACAGCTCCAACATCTTGACAGAATAGTATTCATTAACACATTCTCGAATAGTGCAGAAAAAAACATCAGCTTTGTGCGATGGTGTGTTCCAGGTTTGACAGTGAGAAGGCAGGGGACCGTGAGGTTCAGAGGACTATGCTGGAGCTTCTCAATCAGCTCGATGGCTTTCAGCCCAACACGCAAGTCAAGGCAGGTCTTTCCTGAAACAGCACAGAGTCCAGGAATCTGGATCAGTGGAGTGTGGCCTACTTCAACAGAGCTGTGACCCGGCTCTTCTGTTCCCACTGAAGTTTCCATCTTGCCAAACGGAAGAAATGACATTCAGCTGACTGAGATGTATTATGCTTCTCTGTCGAAGATGCATGAGCTGCCACGAGCAGCATCTTATCCTTTACGTATCTGATCACCATAGTCTGTGAGACATGTTTGAGCGGTGTGCTTTTTCATGTAATGGGCTGCCACAAAATTTTCAAAATACTCAAAAGGAGTGTTTAAAAAAAATGAGATACGAAGTGAGATCTTGCCCTCTTTTTAACAGTTTCCATTATAAAAGCAGTGACTCATGTAAAGAGAGACCTGGCCTGTTTGTTTCCTTTCATCGTCCTGTATTCCCGTCTGCCTTGCAGGTCATTGCTGCCACCAACAGAGTAGACATCCTGGACCCGGCTCTCCTGCGCTCCGGGAGGCTGGACCGCAAGATCGAGTTCCCCATGCCCAACGAGGAGGCCAGGGCCAGAATCATGCAGATTCACTCTCGCAAGATGAACGTTAGGTAGGCCTGTTTACGCGGCCGGTTGTTTCACTTGGAGCGATTGCTGGGGTGAGGCACCTTGCTCGAGGGCCCAACAGCTGCGTCTCACCTGCGATTCGGGCCCACAGGCTTCCGGTCTCAAGTCCAGAGCCCTGAGCAGCACTGCACCCTGCTGCCCTGCTCTTCTGTGCTATGTGTAAATAACCTGTGCGTTTCCTCCCATCTTTTCAGTCAAGATGTAAATTACGAGGAGCTGGCTCGATGTACAGATGATTTCAATGGGGCCCAGTGCAAGGCCGTGTGTGTGGAAGCTGTGAGTAGTAGCTGAATTTCATGTTTCTTTAGCACAGCACTTGTTTGCTAGCAAATATTGTAATAATTAATCTTCATATTTAATAATAATCAGTGATTTATTGATGATAATTGAAATATCAGTGATCGTTAATATGGAAATCATTGCTTTTATAGTGGCTGAAAATAGTGCTTTTAATATGTGAAAATACTGCTTTTATGAAAGTCATTACTTTTATAGTGATTGAAAGCTCTTGCATAGCTATATGTGTAGCTAGTTCTTTCAATCATTTAGCATTTTTGTGCAGTGTTCTTTTTTCTTGATGGGGGAAAATGCAAACGGTTGATATGCAGCTGGGTAAATCTGGCTGGTTTTCTGCCCTGCGGACGGATGTGTCCCTTTCATGCCCCGTTTCTCCTCTCTCGCACAGGGCATGATCGCACTGCGCAGGGGGGCCACCGAGCTCACCCACGAGGATTACATGGAGGGCATTCTGGAGGTGCAAGCCAAGAAGAAGGCCAACCTGCAGTACTACGCTTGAGTGGCCTCGGATCTGAGGTGGGGGGAGACAGGGAAGGGCTTTGGAGTGTGGGTATTTGTGTGTGTGACTGAGCACAACCGAGACAACGAGTCTGTATTGCAATGTCTGGTCTTGTACTATACAATTCTGTTGTCTTACAAGTTACACAAGAATTAAAGCTTTTTTTTTCCCATTGATGCTCGTTCGGTTGCTTTGATCTTTCCATGTCTGCCCACATGCAAAGCACTACGGCTGTAAAGTAATGATGGAACTGGCTCCAGCCCCTTCAGTGGGTCTGGTGATGTTTGTGGAGGCTTAAACAAAATACAGTGATACGTGACGAGTTTAATATAACTGTAATTACATTTTTCTTTAAATAAAATAAATTTAAAAATTGACACAAGTCTTTAGACGTTAAAAAACAAATGTTTTCATGCTTGGCAGTGCCATTATCCTCCTTAGATGTTAAAAATAAAAAAAAAAATCTGGAAAGTTACATTGGTGTCAGATTGAAGAAATGTATTGGTATATGCCAGAAATGTGTTGGTATTTGTACAAATAATGCATTATACACCATACAAATGCAAAACACTTACACAGTTCTGTACAAAATACTCAGGTCTAGAACTGGGATCAACCTTATTGAAAGTAAATTGACTCCTGTGGCCAAAATCGTGTGTAAATCCTCTTGAATTCAGATATAAAATTGTGCTTTCAGCTTGTATCTGGCTTGAACTTTCTGCCTTTTCTTACAAGCAATTAAACTTGTAAAAGCACTCAGAAGCAATACTTCCTCTTGCATTTCTCCAAAGAACTAGGAATTAACTGAAGTTATACTTTTATTTCTTATGTCTCAACTTTCATGCATTCTGAACACAATACTTAGTGACACTCCTACACTGAAAATTGTTCTGTTCCATTTCTGAGCATTGGGAATTGAAACTTTAAGAGGCTTTTTGCCACCTTGAACATGAATAGGAGGTGACGCTTAGGTTGGCAGCTCGAATGAGATTTTTATTTTAGTATTCTGAACTGTGGGAATTCAATGGAGTAATTACTTTAAAATATACTTGCACTATGACAAAATGAATTAACTGAAGAGAGGGATAATCACCCATGACAATGCTGCCTTACTCTTCACCAGTAACTTGCTTTCAGTACTTTAATGATGCTTGTTTTATTTTTTAAATGCAAGCTGAATAGTTTGCTACTGTACTAACCAGTGTACACTGAATACCCATTCTTACATTATTGGCAATAATTTAATTTGTTGTTTAAGATTTTTTTTTACTGTTAGCCTTTCTGAATGCAATGACGTTTGGGATATAATGTAGGGATTTGGAAAATGTAAACTCACCTAGACTGTTACGGCATAAATCTGTTTTATTCTATAATAGCCCCCCTCATTAGAGGCAGGCGAATACTTTCTAATCTCACGCATTCCAAGGCTGAAGTAGCAGTCTGCCTGGCAATCAATGCATTTTATTAACACTGAGCCCCAAGTTTCTCCATTGTAGTATGGTGGATATAAATTGTTTCCAGTTAGACTAAAAACTAAATATGCCTCCCCCCCCAAAAAAAAAGTCTAAATCAGTTTACCACACCCAGTGGTGCTTACCCTTTGCAACATTTAAAAAAGAAAAGTTAATGACAATCTGTTGAAATGGTTAGTTTTTTTTGTGTTCCCTCAGTCTCTCATTCTCGGGACATTTTCCGTAATGTTTTGAGGCACAACACTGAATTGTGTAACGGTGTGCTTATTCTCATCTCTCATCAAAGAGGAGGGTGAGCAAGGGACTGGCAACACGTGGGCTTGCTTTGAGTTCCATTTGCCTCCTGTTACCTTGGCTATCCAATGAGATCACTCCTAATGTCACTGTTTAGTAATATTGGCTCTAATCACCCTTAGGGGTAAAAATCCTGACCTGGCGTAAGTTTCAACTCGTCAAAACGTCCTGTAAACAACAATTAAAAACCGAGCCTGTGTCTACCACTGTACAATTGTCTTTACACACATTTTGTCAGTACAGAATTGCTGCTTGAAAGCTGAAAGCACATTTCCAGTTTTTTAAAAAAAAACAACAACCTGCAGAGCCAAGAAGAGCTTTCTAGAGAAGGTGCTCTTCACCTTTCGCCAGTCGTGAAGCACAATGCGGAAGAGGTGTAGAAGTAGTATAAAAAAAATCTCGTACAGTTCTCACTGTAGTCATGTTGTTAAAAGTCCAGTGTGCATTTTTTAAACAATTGACAGTTTATGCCAGCATAATTATTTTAAGTTTTTTTTCCTTCTTCTGCATTTAGGAAACCAATAACAAACACAGTACTGTTTACCCATCTAAAGAGAACAATCGGACAGAATGAGCTTCCGCAGGTTTATTTGTCCTTTTTCACGTTTTGTTCTCGAAATACTGAGTTTCGTTGTTTTGTTTTTTTTTTCCTTTTAAATCTTTAAAAGTTCCTAGTAGAGAGCACCATTTCAAAAGAAATTTCTTTTTTTTTAAAAAAAAAAACAACAAACAAAAACAGAAACGGTAGCGGGCACCTGGGGCCGGCCATCTTGGAGCAATGGTCTCTGTCTGGTCCGTGCCCTGCAGCGGCCCGAGGTGAACTCGGGGAGAGGAGGGTGGGTGTTACCTCCCACCCCCACCCATACACCACCAGCCCCTCTCCGGGTCTTTCTGTGCGCCAGTGCCAGGTCCGGTTGGGCTTTCTCCGAACTGCCCGGGCCGCTCGTTCCGAACGTCCTCGCCGGGTTGTGTTGGGAGAGCGGCAGGCGGGGCGCGGCGCGGCGGGGCGGGGC